ATATTTTAGTTCCCAATGTGATCTATTTTTCCTCAGTTGTTTCTTCCTGGAAAAAGAAGAAGAATTCAAGGTGAGGATTATTTAATCTAATTTAAAATCCAGAGCCTGTCCCAAAACTTGGGGGGCACGGCAGCACTGAGAGCATACACTACAACTGCTTTTGCCCTGCACTAGACGCCAGGGCCTCAGATTAAGAAGATAGCTTTGCCCTGCCAACCGGGCCTTCCCAGAATACCTCCAGTGCAGGACAAAGGTGAGGGGCTAATGACAATCTACACAAATATAAGAGTTTAAGAAGATGCAATTTTCAAGTATACAATGCAAAATATATCTGTGTTATATATTTTCAAACCTTGAAAAATTCCACCATTATCTGCCACTTGCTAATAGCAATATAGGAGCTGATGCAGGTGCAAATAAGCTTTTCTGCTTATTTGTCAGTGCAGTGCCACAATTACAGTACCTATTCCTTTACTGGGTTAAAACCAAAGTGTTCACTGCATCCCCTGGGCTTCACAGGAAAGCAAGTACAGTACACCAACTGCTTTTTTCTTCCAAGCTTTCATTCACTCAACCCTAAATATGACAGCAATTTTTCAAGTATAATTTCAAAGAATTCAATCTTCCTTAACATAATTTATCTCTGATGTGATTGTCTTGCATTTTAATTTTAAAAAGGTTATTCCCCCCCATCCAAATATAAGTAATGGTTACATGTGAAGAAATGTAATTAGCCAAGCTTCATTGCCTTTATTGCCTCTGGTAACACTATGTTGTCTTGATATAAAGAAATGTGGCATTTACTGAGGCTAATATTTAGTATCAGTGTGCACCCTACCATACATATCCACCAGCTGCTGTAGATAATGCATAAATATGATAATATTTCAACTTCCTACAATAAATTCTTCATGAAAAGGAGAAGTAGAGTAGCTTTGTGAAAATTCAGACAACATAAACTAATTGAAGCAAGAGACAGTTTAAGATTCACTTCCAGTGCTTCTCAATTCTTTTAAGGACTTAATAGCGAAGCAATTTACCACTGTAAATTTAAACTTTATCAAGGAAAATGGCATTCAGACTTGACTGCCTCAGATTATAAAAGTCTGCCACGGACTGATCTGTGGTCTGACTTTTTTAAGCACTTCAAGCAATAAGATGTATTAATAAACTGGATGGTGGCAACAAGCACATTCAGCCAAAGGGTCATTTTTGATCAATTCCAACATCAGGCTAAATCTACAACAAGCTGTCATCTGGCATGAGACGTTTTAACCTAAGGCAAAACAATTTTCAAAATAGCTTTCCACCTGCGTCTATCTGTGTTAAGACGCGACACTGAGAGAGTTTATGCTAGAATAAAAAGGACTGCTCCCATAAATAAACAGCTATCTCTAAAGGCCTCATTTCAGATATCTCATTCTAACTACTGACTTGTAAATTTCATTGCCAACATAACAGGTTATGAATGAAAAAAAAAAACAAACTCTGCAGTGCATAATAATATATTTCTTTCTGTATTTCTCTACAATCCTCTGGTATTTCATACAAAAGTTTTATATGTGGAGTACATGCTTCTTGGAAAAAGTAAGACCTATTCAAATACTTTTAAATTATTAGTAACATTTTCCTATGCATTGTTAACCCTAACAAAGTTAATCCATACATCTAACTCATCCATCACTAATGTTATTTCTACAGTATTTCCCAGTCTCTGAAAACCAGGGGCTGTAGTTACCATGGGGCATGACTGACAAGCTTTCAGGTGATGTAGAAAATTGGAGATGACACAGAGACTGACAATATGGTGATAAGTTTGGTTTCTGGAGCCATACCTACAGTATAATTAGATGATGACAAACTTGAAGATGTTGAGTTTGGTCTTTCCAACATGAAGCATCTACAGCCTTTCTTTTCACTAAGATGTTTCTTGATCTCCACAACAAAACTGACTCAGTGTGGCCTGTACAGTACCTGCTGTTTTTGGGCAACAAAGGCAATATCGCAGACTGACACCAATGCTTTCATCTAACACAAATCAGTAGAAGAAATTAATTAAAAGGTTGAAAAGCACAGAGCAGGAGAAGGGGACAAAACCACAAAAGTGTCTGAATATTCTTGTGAGTCTACTCGATTATCAAGAAATGGAAGGTCATCGTACCACCCAGGCACTGTCTAGATCAGGCTGCACCTCTACAACCAGGCAAAAACAAAACTGGTGAGGGAAGTCACTGGGAGATCAATGGCATCTTTGAAAGAGCTACAGAATATAATGACAAAGATGGGAGAAAATATGCCTCAGTCAACTATATCCAGAATAAGACGAGACCAAATATTTTGTTTGACACAGTTCCAATACAGCAAATTTCCCAGTCAACACCACAGTCAAGCATGGTGGAAGCTGAGATTATCTACTCAGCAGTGACTGTAAAGCTTGTTAAAATTGAAGGAAAAAAGAGCAGAGCAAAGTACGGGCTAGTAAATAATGGAAAACCTGTTACAGTCTGCTAATGATTTAAAAGTGGAGTGAACATTCACCTTTCATCTGGACAATAATCCAAACAACAAGGCCAAAGCAATACTGGAGTGGCTGAGGAATAAGAACATGAATGTCCTTGAATGGTCCAGTAGAAGTCCTATTGAGAATTTGTGGAAAGACTTGAAAACTGCTGTCCATAGGAGGTCCCTAAGTAACTTGAGAGAGCTTGAGCAAATCTGCCAAGAAGAAGAATGGAGAGAAATTGCACCAAGTTGATGTGCAAAGCTGGAAGACTTTTACCCAAAATAACTGCAGCGAAAGGTGCTTCCACCATACACCAATAAAGTTTTTTTTCTAGTTTTTTCTAACATTGATTAATCTTACCTTTAGAAGTCTTTAGTTAAAACATTCTGGTTCTGAATAAAACATTAAGTTTAAAAAAACATGCATTCATCAAAATGGGACACCATAGTAAGGGTCTGAATACTTTTGCAAGGCACTGTATACTGATTTTCTGTGCAACAAAAAGCTCCCTCATGTAACTATGAGTGTATGGCCCTTTATTATGAATCTTTGCACTTGACAAGCACCACCAGAGCTCTTTAATGCTCTGTGGACACTTATCTTAACTTTAAAAGAATAACAAAACATTTAAAAAAGTGCTAGGAGCTTTCAGAATTTGTTAATTTGTTAATTTTTGCTTATTGCTTAGCACCTGTAATGGTACACTTACTGTCTAGTAAGAATCCCAATTGACATACTGTACAGTGAATACCTAGTGGTAAGCTCTCGATGCTATCACTGCTATATAAATAGTGATCTATGCAGAGTGGTTGGGGAAAATACTTTTTCTTCAAAACTGGCTTTGAGTTTAGACTATTTAATTAACAGCTTATGGGTCTGAGGAAAATGTGCTCTAACAATGTTATGGATGCTTTTGAATTCATGTGAGATGAAACCCGATACCAAGTTGTGGGTGTCCAACTTCAGTTGGCACCCTTTGAAATTTGATTTGATGTCTACTGTCTTTTCTTAGATGGGAACAGTATACCGAAGGCTAGAATTTCTATTGCACAGCACTATCATGAGGCTCAGACTAGAGAGTATCAAAATATCCTGGAGCAAACAATTATGAGGTAACCAAATATAAAAACAGATAATGATGCATTAGTACCAGTGGTTTCTTTGACATTCCAGATCTTTTTGATATATAAAATACACTTTATTTTTAAGAATAACAACAAACTTTATTTTCTCTGTAATGCTTCCAACTAAATTCTCTGAAGTTAGATCCTTCCTGAATTTAAAGGATTGTACAACACTGTTGGTAATCCATTTACCCTCTGATTGACAAGAGAACTAATGGAAAGAGAGAACAGGCTGTGTCAATTCCAAGCTTGTCCTTTTATATTTGATAATCTCCCTTTTTCTGTTTCACCAAAAAGCCCCGATGAGATATGTCCAATCCTCTATCTCTCAGAGATTGCTTTTGTGACCTACTGGATAGGTAAATAGTATTTGAATTGGAACTGAAATGGATTAAAAAGGCTGCGCAGTTGCCAACTGGTTATTTTGATCGTAAATTAGGCGCTTTGTTTCTAACAGGATTAGCTTTAGAAAAATGTACAACAAAACACAATTGCAATACACCAAATAGTAGTGTGCCTTTGAATAAAAAGAGCACTTTGCCTTTGTTGTGTCACAAGAGTAAAACAATGTGAAAGGCATAATAAAAATGAACTTAGAAAAATGTACACAGGACACATGCCAGTGTTTGTTAAGATATTCTTACTCAGGTTTTCTGAATAAAAGAGCCAAAGCTATTTACAAGGGTAGATTTGATCTTAATCAAAGTGTGGCAATGCTAAAGAAGAAGGGTTACTAGCACTGGAAAACAAATTAATTGGTCAATGGATCTTTACCTCTTTAAGGAACTGCAGCTGACACCGTACCGCACAGGTGAAACTGAAAGCCTGGAATGATGGAATGATGCTTTTTTCCAAAAGTTACTGTAGATTAGAACCTGTAGAGAAAACAAATATAACAACACAAATAAATTAAAGTACTGCACTGAATAAAAGTGATAGAACTGTAAAAGAAACAAAAGAATGTACCCATTTCCCAGTAGCTCAAGTGTTTTCTTCTGTGAAAATTATTCTGCAGCTCCACCAAAGTGTGCCTCACCTTGTAATATTCTGTTTGACCTAAGACAGACAATGACAACTAAGAACTTTTATTCATCTTGCACAGTCAGCACCACAGTTGCAAAAATCTGCTTACTTTTTTGTTCCCTTTTAAACATAGAAAGATCTGGAGGGAAGGTCAGTAAAAAGCAAGCCTCTCATCTTTTGATCTTGTGACATAAATGTACTTATCTGCAGGTTAAAAGTGAACCTATGGTCCTGACACTGAAGCACTGATGAAAAAAAGTTGTATCTGATTCAATAGAGAAAAGTTATCCTTCTCTGATCCTGGAGCAATTGGGTGTATACAAGTTTTCATTCCTACTCAGCTGTCGATGACCTAAATTAGCTTGACTAAATTAGAACAATTTAGCAACTCTCTCAGGTCTTACAGCAACAGGTTCTGTTTTAATGAGGCCTAAAAAGAGACTTAGAAAACCTGCAGACACGCCAGGCCTCGAGCACTGGAACCGGTCTCCCTGTATTACTGGATGAACAGTAAGGAAGGTGCGATACATATGTCGTCATATGACAAGAAATTGAAAAGCACAACATTTAAATACAGCCTCAGATTGAATACTTCAAAACTGAAACAAAATGACAAGAGAAAGAAAACTCTAAATTGTACACTAGCTAAATTTGTATCCAATGCCCAGACGTGCTGCATACATACTTCATATTGAATCTGATACTTCTTCATGATGATAACCTTTAGTTTATCACCATAGCTAAACCTTCAACAGATGCAACTGATTTTTTGAGGCGACGGTCCACCTGTGTCACTATCCTGTGTGTGGTGCAACTCTGCTGCAGTTGTCTGCTCCACCTGCTCTTCATAACCTAATCATTAGCGTAATTGGATCAATTTAACACTTTCCTAAGGTCTTCAGCTGTTAATATTTTAAAGAGACTTTGAAAACCTGCTGGATTCAGACTCTAAAGGACACGAGATGTGCACCTATAATAGTGGCCTACAATAGTGATTTCGCTTACCTGTGCTGGAAAATCCAAATACAGGAAGTTTTAAGGTTGCTGGTTTCTAAAGATTAGGAACACCTATGAATTATTGATCAGTAAAGTGAGTAATTAAATTTTAAAAACTCTGATCCTTGAGGAATTAAGGTTACACATATATTTGTCCCACGTCATCTAGAGAATACTACGTTTAACAAATCATCTGCATAAATGATCACAATGAAATTGTTCCATGTTTTTTTAAATTGGTAACTTTATGGTGACCTATAAAATCTGCTGGATTGGATCTGTTGGATGCCAAACACCAACAGTATTTGTCAAAGGGATGAAGGGATGTCATAGTCTACAGACACTATGAAGGGTGGTCTATTTGTGATTCACTGTATGAGGTTTGTTAATACAACATCATACTTCTCAGTAGCAGCCCTGGACAAGTCGAGCTAAAAGCAACTTTTCTTTCAGCAGAACAAAAAACTTATATGAACAATATGAGAGCAGCTAGTGGTGAAACAATTACAATAAGCAGAAACTGGACCTTTAAATGACACAGAGATTTGAGTAAAAAGACAGATGGTACATGTTAAGGGAGGGAGAATGTGACAGCCCCCAACAGTACTAAGGAGAGCAAGGTAATTAAAAGAGAAATTTAATCAAAATCTTTAAATTAAAATCCAGATGGACTCTCCAAAACCCTCTTTGATCCCAACACCTGACCTTTGGATGTCCTGAATCCATAGAACTTTGGGCTTTGGTTCAGGTGAAGTAATTTCTTGATTTTTAAACATGAATTTTTTTAATACTTCCAGTTATTCCAGCTGATAGAAAGTACCACGTGTTAACCTTCCTAGAGGCTAATGTACATATACTGTACAGCAATGATCCAGTAATTATGAAATTCATCATTGCCTATAATCCTGTTGGTTCAAGAATATGTCTGCAAAGTAACTTCTATGACTTAACCAATGAATTTTACTGTGTCGCAAAGACGAAAAAAAATCACTGAAAGAAAAAACATCCCCAAAACATAAAAAAAGCTTTGCACTTTATATAATAGGTTCAGTGTTTCTAAATACCTTACACTACTTTTTAATGTAGGTTATGTTGCATTTGTGCCTAACAATACACCAAATAAATCAATAAATCTTTCACATCTATAAACCAAAAAACAGACATTTGAAGAGGGGACTTTTCTCAATGATGTTTCTTTGAAAGCAGCAAAACAAATCAGTCAGTTGTTATCAGTGGGTTTACAGTATATTTCAACATTTCAATTTATGACCCTACATTGAATACTGTACTCATTCATTATGGAAAAGGGCATTTTCCTTAGAGATTGTTTTTTGTAAACAGTGGTCTACAATAAGAAGCTTGTTGACCTCATTTTTATAAGCTGATTCTGTAGTTCAAAATGAGGAAATACTTCAATATCCCTTAAGCCTTCAATGGGAGCAGCTATAGGCTGCCTCTGTTCCTATTGTTGCATTATCCTGTAAATACATGGTTTGGAATGCAAGCACAATCCCACACAGTACTAGACCATCCAACAATTCACAGAAAACATCTCTGGGCTGCATACTGAGAACAAATCCTGCATCATTGGGAACCTAAATCTACTGTAGGTTATATTTCATTGAAGAAACACATTGCTCACCATCTGTAATGATCTGAATCTGTTTTCCAAATGACATCACCTAATAAGTATTTTATAATGTGAGTTTTGATTTGCCTTGCATTTGTAGCAATAATAGCCTCTGAAACAATAATATTGGTGAAAAGTATGGGAAGCTAGTAGCAAACATATTTCAGGATAATTAAATTTACAGAATTAAGTATATTATCATACAAATCCTCCACAAAAAAATGTTATTCTCGTACTATATTCTTGTCTTGTGCTGTATGAACCACATACAAGAGAACCTTCAAAGTGTATCTGTGATTTTAATTCCTATTTGGACTCATTTGTCATCCACGCAACAATCTCATAAGTCTCCTACACAAGACAGTTATTGTGCAATATCTGTATCCCAGCACCAACATCACTCATAGAACCAGCATGTCTGTCTGTCAGCCGAATAGTGACAGACTGATTTCCAATGGCATTTGGAACGAAGAGAAGGTTTCATTTTTTTGAAAATGGAGAAAAAACAATAAATTAAGACAGAAAATTATTAAAATAGGTAAATTCTCTTATAACTCACAAATCACTTTGAATTATTCAGATCTGAATTAGAATTGCATGGCACCAATCTTCTGAGATAAATAGGTCTGGTTATTCAACAGCATTCTGGAGTAATAGTCAGAGCTCTGGATCCATAAATTGAAGGTGATGGGTTCAAATTGTGGATGTGGCACTGCTATTGTAGCCTTCAACAAGATATTGAACAGCACACTATTGCTTCAGTAAAATATGCAACTGCATAAATGGGTACATAAGGAAAAGCATCATACATTCATTTTCTAACCAATTCTTCCAATTCAGAATTGCAGGGAAGCCAGTATCTATCCCAGCAAGCAGTGAGCACAAGGCAGGGTACACCCTGGATGGGACACAAGTCTACTGAAGGGCAGACACACAGACCTAAAGAAGCACATTCACAACACAGGCAATTTTCCCAGAAGCCAATTAAACCTTCCAATATGTTTGTGAATTGTGGGAAGAAACTGAAGCACCCAAAGGAAACCTATGCAAACACAGAGAGAACATACAGTACTCCAGGCAGATAGCACCCCAGATCCAGAATTGAACTCCCAGTCCTGCAAGGTAGCAATGCTAACCACTGTGCCACCATGTCACCCATCAGCATCATCCAAATAAATTAATATGTCAAGAAAAACCTTACAAAAAGAAAACAGAAAACATGTGTGCAGCAAATGGTCTGCCTACACACCATACTTTCGATCACTATAGAATATCTTACATTTACATGAGTGCTTAGAATGCTACTGAAGCTTACAGATTATTTGTGTCAGGTAAAATAACATGCATTTTAATTTTTCTGTACAGCGGCCATGAGTTTATTTTCTAATGGCCTCACTCTTACTAGAGCTATGAAGAGTCTACATTCACATAACACAAAAGCCGGTAATGTTAGTTATAAGCTCTTAGATAAAAATCCCATTAATCACTTTTGTTTTATAAAGTTTTACTTTTCCTAATTAAACAAAACTGACATACAAAGTATACAGGTGAATAAACACACGCTGTTCCTGCATTCACCACTTAAAATGACCCACATAAGGCCTGTGACCAAAACATAGTTTTTTACTTCTAATGCACAGAAGTGTGGAGGAAGTAAGGAATATTTACAGCAACAAAAAATAGGCTAGAGTGGGTGGGTCTTTCATTCTGCACATTTTAGCATTTGCGAACAATGTCTTAACCAGGGTTTATTCGTCCAAGGGCTATTATAATTACCTCATATTAGGAAAAAAATCCCTCAATACTCTGATTGTTAAAGTCTAATTACAACCCAAGGGGAAAAAAAGAAAGCTGTAAGGAATGAATTAAATCTCCTAAGTTAATTTTATGTGAAACCAAGATCTCAATATGCAATCACTCTGCAAGCTGTACGTAACAGATGGCAAAATAATCTAGCTTGACTTTAATTCATAGCAGGCCGGCTTTGAGTGGGACTTAAAAGACCAACATGTAACTGTTTAAAGCACTGCATGAGATGTTTCTTCTTTGACATTTCAATAACAGTGATATTGCTCTAAAATATATTTTATTCCATTTACTTTTGCACCAATACATCCATGGTAGCACAGCTGCTGTATGAAAGACAAACAACACTCACAGGGCCAGATCACAGATACACTTTTAGAATGTGATCAATTATCACTTTAGGTTTAAAAGACCCACCCCAAAACACAATTTTCATAGTGTTCGTACACACCACAAAAATATTTCATCAACAGCATATATACAGGCTTTAAAAATACTGTAAAGGCAAAAGTTTACAATTTTGCTACTATACGATATCTGTTCCCATTTCAGTCTAAAAGGCTGAAATATAGGGTAGGGGTTATGCTACAATTATGCCGAAATAATTTCAGAAATTAAGGTAGAGAGTATTCAAGAAACAGACAACATGAAGAACTGTGATGGCTGGTAACAGTTTCAATACTATTATTTAGAATAAGAAAGAAGAATACAGAAAGGTATTTTTAACTCCTCCCTTTAGGAATTTTAGATATTGTAATAATGTATATTAAAGCACACAGTAGGACATTTTTTTAAAAACAAAAATTTGACCTTCTACATCCTTATTTCCTCCCCGTTCAGAGGCAGGATTGGTTCCAGTTGCACAGCTGTGCTTACAATGATACTTTGCATACCATTTCATCAGATAACTGACTTTCCTTCCCTACAGTACATTTAAACATGACTTCCAAACCATTTTGATGAAACACAGGCTACCCTACCTCCCACACTAGGGTTTTACATTCAAACATGAGTCTGCCTAAGTCCCGTTAGTGCTTTACAGCGGTGAAGTGCTGGTGCACTTGACGATTCAGTCTGCAGCAGTTAATTGCAAATCAATGCTGCGTGACGTTCAAAATACAAACTCATTTAGCACCCGGCCTCAGTCTACCTGAACTCTTTAAACTGTGATCTTCTACACAGTCTTATTAGAGTACATGCTGAAAGTTTTCAGGTCATAGCAACTGAAATGAATGTTGGATGAAGTTTAAAGTACTGTCGACAGAAAAATTAATGGGCCTTTAAGGATTTCTTTCAAGCAGGGTAAGATAATATAGTTCCCATATTCCTACAGTGAATTTAAACACTGAAGAATATTCATCTCTTCCAAGAAAGGCCGTCAAGCAAAAACACTGTGCATGTGACCATCACATTTAGCCAGCTTGCCCTGCTGGTCGTGGGCCTTTTTAACTCCCACTCAGTCTTCCACCTTCAAAGAAAACACCAATTGTGATTTTGGTAATAAGCATTTAATGCCAGCAGCCGAGAGAACAGCTGAAGCAAGTTGAGAGGGAAAGATAACTATTCTGTATTAGTGGATTGTACAGATATTGCACTAAAATGTCCTGTTTAAACAAACAAGACCAAACAATAATAGCCTAAATCACATCTGTTCAATTGTAAAAAATTAATGTACCGTATATGGTGCAATGTTTTTATTTCTTTGTGTAAACAATAATCAAAAAACGGTCATCACAAAATACAGAACACCCCTCCCTCCCCGAGCCCAACCCTACCCACGGCAGTCCTCACCTTAAGACGAAAAATACACATTACAAGAAAGATACACTGTACAATGTGTTTAGTCTTTACTTTCTTTCAGTCTTCGGAATCTGCGTCTTTAAAAGACATGAGCTAAGTGGAGCTACACTAAGCGCTGAAGGAGCGAGCTGTTCCCCTGTGCTCTCATTTTTGTTTTGAAAATAAAGTTTTTTTCTCGATCTTTATATGCGAATTGCATGGGGTTGATTCTTACTTATTCACTCCCAGTCGAACTAAACGTGCAGCCGATACAGGCCAGTTACAGTACAAATGGAAAAACGTGGCTGAAACAAAACAGTGGATACATTTCCCCAAGAGTGATTCAATTGTAAAGGGAAGTGGTTGAATAAAGTGCTAGGATAAATTCTTTTGTCCAAATTACATTTTGGAGAGGGTCCTTCAATGTTTTTTACGCTTATTATTGTTAACGTAAAATGTAAGTTGGGGTGTAGGTAAATGACAGGAAGCTGCGCAGTAGTTGATTTATAATGTATGGAACAGCATGATTCATTATGTCAATCTTTAAAGCTCTCAAAAATTATTTTAATGACCTGAAAGTTTTTATTCATCAGTATTCAATGACATTTCTGATTCCAATTAATTGCTCACGTATACTGGAGAATTGTGCTATACAGAATCACCTCTAAACACAATTGCGACTGCCAAATTCGGTTTAGACAGGAAACGTCTGTTTCACTGGCGATTCAATATGAACAAATTTCAGAGTTAGAACAGACTCAAATTGATTATAATATACTTATTATACTTTAAATGTTTGCGTCTAGTTAAACCGAGAACTACTAAGTAAAAATGCATTTTAAAGTACCCCCTACGTGGAACAATTATAATCAGTCACTACATAACACATTTACATCGAAATAATCCAGTGCAACCAATGCCCGTCACCTAGATAACAAAGCATGGAAACGTGTTTAAATGCCGGTTTATTAAAAAACCTCACAACTCTCGCATAAATAACTGCAGAAGGTTTATTCACAGCAACAACAAAATAAACATGTCTCCGAAATTTAAAGCTTGCCCCCTTGTGAGACGCAAGCTGAGACACGATACAGAAACTTACCCAACGATCCAACACGTGCACGCCTACAAAACGCACTAAGTCTTGTGGGAAATGAAGTACTAAATTAGCGGGCTATGGTGTCCAGGAAACGGAGAATGACTACAAATCCCAGAACGTTTTGAGCTTGAATTTTTCAGATTGATTGAAAACCCTTTTCGGCTGTGCGAATGTGTACTGCTTCTTAAAAATACGAAATATGTATAAACTATTTAGCTGTGCACAGCGTGTAATAACTTTGTGTAATTCACGTGCCCCAGCCTCCTGGTTTATACTGTAAATTTTATGCCATGCTGTTTTTGGATGTACTATTGTATTGCTCGTTACAGTATCTTCTTTCTTGTTGGTCTTTATAGATGTGGAATAATTTTGTGTTGGTACTCTACAATATTCATACAATATTGTGATGGTGCTAAATATTAAATAGATCAGATATGGAACTAGTGTTTGTTAGAACACGTTACGAGTGTTTGGATATATCAAAGGTTTTACAGAATTGGAAAAACGAGAAGAACCATATGGGTCGCCTTAGCTTTAGGGTCGGCATTGGATAATCTCTACATTGTAAATTTGGCTATAATATCACACTGAGTAAGGCAAAGTGTCCAAATAACCACATTCACGTTTTAATTCGTTACCGAATAAAAAACGATACTTTTTGATTAACCTGCAGTGTTCCAGATAATTCCTCGCACTTACAGTATATACAGTAGCCCTGTTCATGGCAAGGTGTTTTCATATTGGAGGGGACTCACTCCACCAACGCTTTAGTACAACTGAATGATGCGCCATATTGTATTAAGAGTACAACACTAAGCAGATCAGGAAGAGCATTTTAGGTGGCCAAATGTCTAGATTCTAGCTAACGTTAGTACAGGACTCTTATTAACAATATTTTGCGATTTTAAATGACCACATTTTCTGGTTTGACATCTCATCCAAATGAGGGCATTTCCCTACACAGCATAGTCTGCAGTCACCATACTGGTGCAGCTACTTGGAAATTCTGGTCTAGAGTGTAAGCGCCACATACCAGGCTACCAACCCCAATTACAACAGCAATATTACTTTTTTCTTCAGAGATCGCTCCTCCTGATACTGACCAGGTAGACCTTTGCTTAGCTTCTAAAATCTAACAAGACTAGAAAGTGGTCACACAAGGCCGTGGTTCTCAGTCTTGGTCCAGGTAACCCAAACACCTGCTGGTTTTCATTCTATCCCACCTTAATTTGAAATTGAAGCCTTAATTGATTGCTTCATTTGAATATTTGCATTTTGTTTCTAATCATAAGTTTGGGATTTTATTTTAATTACAACATACAACAGTTAAAGCTCTAACATGTTTAAGAGCTTAACCGTTTTTTAACAAATTTGATTATGTACTGTAATTGAGGGCTCAGCTGGAACAAAAACCAACAGGTGTGTGGGTCACCAGGATCAGGATTGGGAACCACTGATATTAGAAAAAAACCTTTGGCCTCTTCTATAATATGTTATTTGCTTACTTTTCCCTTTTCTTAACCTGTTTCTGAATACAG